GTAGTTAATGATTGGTGGGCAAATCATAATTTGAATGGTCATAAAAAGTCAGCGTAGTGTCGTTTTTTAGATGGATCCATACAAATTTTATCAACATATGATTAATTCCTCTGTGTTTAATTTTAAYCTCACTTGCCTCCCATGGCCAGGATACAATGGGCAGCCTATACTTTGTGGTGTAGTTGTTGTTAGGCGTAAATTGACATTTCACGTAAGTCGAGCCTAGTTATTGTATGGAATTGTTCTCAACCGCTCACCTACCACGATAGCGCTTGAAATTTCGTGGTTGTTGAATGGGTGCCATAGGTCAATGCCTATTACTACAGATAGATATCATACCCACTTGAATCCGATTGCTCATTCTGAGGACATACTTATTATGGGTGAAATTATCCTACGAAGAGGTGCGTGCATTTTTACTTGTAAATAATTGAGAGAGTATTATCATTTGATTTTATTTTTCAGTACAACAAATGGGGTGGGAGGATTCRAGCTCATGACATTTTAGTTAGAGATAGATGTCCATTATTGATGAACTAAATTCATATTGCATATTTGATTTCTTTTTTTTTTTACGTCCACTCAAATTAAAGTATTATGCATTTCTAAAATAACAATAATAATAAAGTTTTTTTTTTTCTAAAACTTATGCATTTTTCTTTCCATAGGCTTTATTTTTATTTTTAAAGTAGACATTTTATATAAATAGATTAAAATGAACCAAAATTAAAAATATAAACACCAAAAAGTCGAAAATATAGACATCAAAATGGTATTTAAAACCTCTTATTTTAGTTTTTTAGTTTAACTTTTTAAAAAGATAAATGGTGACTTTTTTTTCTCTCTTTTTGCAAAGGTTAGATATATATTTTCAAGAAAAAAAAAATGGATCTCGTATCTTGAGATCAAGACATAATAGAATCAAGAGACTTGGCAAAAAATAAAAATAAAAATAAAAACAACGAAGACAATAACAAAATAAAATAAGGACATGTAAAAATAACTCCCAATCAAATTCTATTAAAGTTCGGCCTTTAGATTAAATAATATTTTACCAAGTGATGGTACAAACATAAACCTCAACACTATTTGTTAAGGATCYCACATTGCCATTTTAGACCGAATGCTCGTTTGAGCTTGTGGGCTCTGATACCATATTAATATTCATGGGGTTCCATCTCAAAACCAATTGGCAATGAGAGAGTAGCTTATGTCTATTATAAACCATTGTTAAGTCCCTTCTTATATCAACGTGGGATCCTTAACGACCCTAAATTAATTCCATAATATTACAAATTCTTTAAATATTAGATATTATCTAAATTTTATTACTTTACTTTCATTTTATATGATATCTGGGCAATTTATTCTACCCGCTGCCAAAATAACTTATTTAATCAAATACATGGAGACGCCAACAGCTCGTAGTTTGAAAGGTTCATCTACCCAAATAGATAAATAAATAATAATAATAAAATAAATTGCAGCCATTACAAAACATAGATTCCAATTTACTTACCTAAAGTAATTAAATTCATCATCTAAATTTAATATTCAACTATATCACACGCAATAAATATTATCTCACAAAAAGAAAAGTGATTTCTCTTTATTTATTTATTTTTTCTAATGTTCGCTATTTTTTATTTCATAAAACTACTTTTTTTCTTTTGTAAATAACCAACCTTTTTTTTTTGGTTGTGGGCAATATAACATTGTTTATAATAGAAGCTCATATTTCTAATAGTTAACTAAAAAAAATAAAAATATGAACAAAGTTTAGTGTTACAAATCTCATATTTTTTTTTTCGTGAAAGAATATTATAGAGAATTGGTTTTTTTTTTTTCTTTTCCACATGGGTGTGTGTGGAATTGTGTTGATTAATTGAATAATAAAAAGATAATTAAATGCAATAGTGGGTGCAATTATGTCATCAGTCATCCCAGCTGTTGCTTTCCAATGTCAATTATGAATAGCTCACTTCCATCTTCCAAACTTGTGCCCCATCTCTCAACCACACCCTTATAATAACAACAAAAAATGGCTTTAAATATAGTTTAATTAGGTCATTAAATTTTACGATTAAATATTACTTTACCACTCGTATTTTCAATTTAAATATTAGGTTTATTTTTATTTGTGTACTTTTCCACCGTGATAATTTTAGTTCCTTAATTTTCATTTTTATCTCCTTCCTTTCTATTACAATTTTAACGTGACATTTTCTTTAACTATATTTCATGAAATATACAGCGATAAATTATATTAAATGATTTCGTTGAACATAAAATTAAACTTAAAAAATGTTCAAATAGAAATCAAAATAGTAATTTTTTAAAAGTATAGCGACTTTTAGATATTTTGAGAGTACATAAAGCAAAATAAATCAAAGCATATGGTAGGGGACCAAAATAACTTTTAGACATTCAACTTTATAATTTATATACATATACATCATTTTTTTAAAAACTATTTTGATGGATTTATTGTCAAAAGGTCAAATATTTATTATATTTGGGTACGAAGAAAAGAAGCTTACATTATTTTATTTTATTAGGGATTGTAATTATCCAAATGTCAAGCAATTCATATTTAATTCACTATTTTGTTCATTTGAAATGTTGTATAACTGGTCCTGGTAAGTAACTTATTTTTAGTTGACTTCATAAGCCAAATTGATAAACTTTTCTTCTTAAAAGAGATTAAAATCATTTCATGTCTGCACTTTTATTTAGTCAAAGTTATAGAGCTGAATTGGTTTATAATTAGATGAAAATTCACATATTAAATTTTTTCTAAATCAATGGTTCAAATATACACAAATTGCTTTATAAATAAATTATACTAATAAAGTTAAGTAGTTTGGTATGAAGAAATAAGAGAAGAGGTTGGGGAAGCCCATTCCAAATCACTAATTATTAATTGCACAATTGGGTAGATGTAAATAAATTTTTGATTAAATTACAAATTTAGTTTCCCGATCATAGAGTCATGTTAAATCAAATTTGAATTTTGACTTATTGTAAATTTATTTGACAAAAAATTGAAAGTTCAAGCAAAGTTTAATTTATGGACTAATTTTGTAATTTTATATGAAATTTTTAAAAATGTATAGATTAAATAGTAGTGATTAATTAAATTTAGGTATGATGTAAACATTATTAATGTGTCTGTACTGAGAAAAAAAAATATTATCAATGAGAGGGATCCATACACACGTGACTGGCATTAATAATATAGCACTAATACGTGCACATGCACGACCAAACTCATTATACGCCGCTGTTACCAATACTTTTCTTTTGCACATTCCCCACCATATGAAAATTATATGTTTTTTTTTTATCATTTAACGTTACATAATTAATAGGTCCCTGTATATCATTTAGCTATAAATTTATATTAAATAATTTCATTGGATATAAAATTAGTGTTAAAAATAATTTAAATAGGGAACAAAATAATTAAGAGATATATATTTGATTAAAAAGTTGTGAATTCGAATCTCTATCCCATATTATACTAAAACATGTAACGTTTTTTTCTAGAAGAAACATGTTACGCAATTAATAATAATTTTAAATAGTAAAAGTTAATATTAAAAGATAATGTGATTATAACTCAATAAACAAGATGCATGGCCAAAGCGAGTATAGCTTCACTGCTGAAAAAAATAAAAATAAATAAGATGTGGGATATCTTCTTAAATAATTGTTATATTCCATAGATAAATAAATTAGTCGCATATTATTTTATTAATAAACCAAATTTAATTTTAGTTTCTAAAAACTTGAGATTTACATAATATTCAACTTCCAAAATATATTTTCTTACCTATCCAAACCTTTATTTTAAGATCTAAATATTCCATTTTACTCTATTTTAATTATTAAAATTTTAAAATGTTCGCTTTTTTTTTCATTCTTTCTTTCTAAAATTGAAGAAAATAATATTTTTTTTAGCATGAATCTGAAGAAAATAATCCTTCCTTTTTCCTTAACGTAATTTTTTTTAACACAACATGACTTTGAGATGTATTAACGCATATATTTGGACATGTATTAGAAGTTAAGTTAAAGTAATTAGTGTATTTTTTTTCGAAAAAGGAGTAATTAGTCATTTGTGTATGATTGATTAAATAGAAAATAATATTAAACAGTAAAGTAATTACTTGGTGAAATAAGTATTTTGAAAGTTTATTGCTAGAATAATAATTATTTTAAAATTAAGTAAAATGAAATTTAAACCTAAACTACAGTTGTTGGTCTCCCTGTCTGAAAATCATCTCTTCGTGGACCTGCGAAAGCAAAATCGGAGCAGAGCTTCAGACGAAAAGCCGAGAATGAGCAGCAATGGCGGAGTTACGTCCATTGACGAAGCTCAGTGAACAGCGATGGCCGAACAAGAACACTGAGAACAGATAAGATTCCAAACCTAAAATTAGTGGCTGAAAATCTCTTCTTATCTCCATGGAGACGAAATGAAATTTCAGATTCACCCAAACCCTAGCGCTTCCCCTTCGAATTTGCCCTCTCTCTCTCTCTCTACGTCTTCCATGGATGCCCTAACGAGCTCTGTATCAACCCTCAGAGTTCCATCGACTCTCCACTCATCATCGCGCGATTTCTTCAACTTCAAAAACTCCGCCCATCTTCCTCATCGTTCCTCCTCTAGCAGATCCAATTCGATCTCCAAACCGCCAAATTTTCTCTCTACCCACAAGCCTCTTCAGCCGCTTCCCTTCTCCCCCTCCCCCCGCCGCTCCTCCTCCCCGGTCCTCCACCGCCGACCCGCCGCCGGCTACGCGGCCGCCCTCGTCGATGTAGCTCAATCGGCCGGGTCGATTCACTCGGTCGCGCGCGACGTCGGGAGATTCTCGAAGCGAATCGGAGGGATTTTAAACGACCCGTTCGTGGGGGAGGAAGAGAAGGGGGGATTGGTGAGAGAAATTGCAGCGAAGGGAGGGTTTCAGAGGCCGGTGGTGAGGCTGACGAAGATGTTGATTGAGAAGAAGAAATTGGGGATTTTGAAAGAGGTGTTGAGCGAATTCGAGAGGATTTATGATCAGCTTTGTGGGACTGAGGTGGTTATGGTTTCTTCGAGTAGAAAAATGGAGGAAGAGGAGTTGTTTGGGATTGCTAAGAATGTGCAGAGCCTCACCGGGGCTGCCAAGGTGAAGATTAGAAGCTTCGTTCATGGCGGATTAATGGCGTAGATAAATTAGCTAGCTAGAGAAGATTGTAATTCATGAACAATTGCAGAAGCTTTCAAGTTCTTGTTTGGTCAGTTTGAGATTCATATGAATCAGAAAAAGTATAAGCTTTCAATGGAAGTGCTTTTAGTCTACAAGTATAAGCTTTTGATGGAAGTGCTGAAAATTTAACCCAACCATGAATATTATGATGGAACTCTTAAAACTATCCAACCAAGTTGAAACGAAGTGTTAAAGATTATAAAGATTGAAATGATAATTTAACCCAAAATATTGAACCTTTGTACTCCATAGTCCATGGAAACCAATTGAAAACAGTTTTATGTTTGTAAGTATAAATGTTATCGTCTAAACTGAAGAAATTTCTATGAACAAATACGCAAGGTTAAAAGAATAAAAAAAAAAAAAGGAGACAATTGGCTCATTTGAAGATTGGAGATCGAATCACATGATAAAAGAAGAACCCATATTAAGAAGCCCAAAAGCAATCCCAGCCCAGAATACTCCCTTTTCAGTTTTCTCTATTGCTTGCTCCAATTTTAGCGAAGAATTGGTTCGCAGTCCATTTTGTTTCAACGCCCAACCAGAAAGTCGGTAAATTTTGAATTGTCCATCTTCAAGTTCTGCGAGTGTAGGATTCTTATGAACCAATTGAAGCAAATTCATGCGTACGGCCTCAGAAGCGGCGTAGATTACACAAAATTCCTCATCGAGAAACTCCTCCAAATCCCAAATTTGCCATATGCTTGCGCCCTCTTCGACCTCATTCCGAAGCCCTCTGTTTTTCTCTACAACAAGTTCATTCAATCGTATTCTTCCTCTGGTCAGCACCACCGATGTTGGTCGCTTTACTACCAAATGTGCCGGCAAGGCTGCTCACCGAACCAGCACTCCTTCACTTTTCTCTTTGCCGCCTGCGCTTCGCTTCAAAATGTTTTCCCAGGTCAGATGCTTCATGCCCATTTCTGTAAGTCGGGATTTGCCTCAGATGTATTTGCCTTAACGGCGTTGTTGGACATGTACGCGAAATTGGGTATGTTGAGGTCTGCCCGCCAACTGTTCGATGAAATGCCTGTTAGAGATATACCCACTTGGAACTCGATGGTTGCTGGCTATTCAAGGTCCGGGGACATGGGGGCAGCGTTAGAATTGTTCGACCGAATGCCTGTAAGAAATGTGGTCTCGTGGACCGCATTGATATCTGGGTATTCGCAGAATGGCAAGTATGCCAAGGCACTGGAGATGTTTCTGAGATTGGAAAATGAGAGAGGCATTAAACCAAATGAGGTTACCGTAGCTAGTGTTCTTCCTGCCTGTGCTCAGCTTGGGGCGTTGGATATTGGGAGGAGGATTGAAGCATACGCACGAAATAATGGTTTTTTCAAAAACTTGTACGTAAGTAATGCTATACTGGAAGTGCATGCCAGGTGCGGGAATATTGAGGAAGCTAGACAAGTTTTTGATGAGATTGGAAGCAAAAGAAACTTGTGCTCGTGGAATACCATGATTATGGGATTGGCTGTCCATGGAAGATGCAGCCATGCTATGGAGCTTTATGATCAAATGCTGGTGACCCTTCTGTCTTGTTCTGCCTTTATCTTGTTTGGATTTTAGTTTCTAAATCACGACTAAGCTCAAAGACTATGTTATACTTAATCAACACTATTCTCAAACTTGTGGGCTTGGAAATTATATCGAGTTTGATATAGTTTTTTAAAAAATGCTAGCAAAGTACTTGTATAAACATTTTATAGCACTTTTGTAAGAAGCACTAGTTAAGTTATTCCTGTAAAAGTAGTTTAAGTGTTGAATAACTTTTAACCATGTAACTTTCTGTAATCATATATCATGAGAAATTTTAGAAGTGCTTTTAATCGGTTAAAAACACTCTTTATCATTCAAAAAGTCATTTCAAACTCATTAAAGATCTAACCGGTTACCATATCAAAGCTCCCTGTTCGGATACCATTCAAACTACTGCTAAATCTAAAAGTTTAAATTGATACATTATCATATGTTTTATCTTTTATGTGTGTTCTCTTAACAACTAATCGGTAGTGTCAAATCTTTCTTACATCAGACACAAAGAATAAGACCTGATGACGTTACATTCATAGGTCTTCTCTTGGCTTGCACTCACGGGGGCATGGTTGCGAAAGGCCGACAACTCTTCGAATCAATGGAAAGTAAGTTTCAAATTGCTCCTAAATTAGAGCACTATGGCTGCTTGGTTGATCTATTAGGCAGGGCTGGAGAACTAGAAGAAGCTTACAATCTCATTCAAACCATGCCTATGGTTCCTGATTCTGTAATTTGGGGAGCTCTTCTGGGAGCTTGCAGCTTCCATGGCAGTGTCGAATTAGCTGAAGTAGCAGCTGAGTCTCTCTTCAAGCTCGAGCCGTGGAACCCTGGAAATTATGTCATTCTCTCGAACATTTATGCATCGGCTGGTGATTGGCGCGGAGTTGCGAGGCTGAGGAAGACGATGAAGGGAGGACATATTACAAAGAGAGCAGGGTATAGTTATATTGAAGTGGGAGATGGTATTCATGAGTTCATTGTAGAAGATAGATCACATCTGAAGAGTGATGAAATATATGCTTTACTTCATGGAATTTATTCAATTATTAAACTTCAGAAGCCTGCACTTCATAGTCAGAATGAAGGTGAAGAACTACTCCATTCATTTATCTAATGAATTAGTATGAAATTGATCCATGCTATTTCTATTTATATTCAGTCACTTTACTAATTATCTTATTATTTTATCCAATGGCAGTCAGGCTTTTCTCTATTGATTTTTTGCATTATCAATTATGTGAATTCTTCCCGGTTGTTAAAAATTTGATGTCAGTGACACAATTCAAGATTTCCATAATTTTTCTGAAGTATATTTTGCCTTGGGATTGTGTGGAGCTTGTTAAGAATAAAATAATAGATATAATATTGAAAGATGTCCATATAAATAGGGGTGTTCAAGGGGTCGGGCACGACAATGCATAAACTTACCCATGCCTGTCCCATTTAATTCTCCACGAAATTTTGCAGCATCCAGACAGGAATTTCTACTAATTCTTGTTAAATCAAATTAGTTTCTTTTTACATCTAATTAAAAGTTTCCTTCTCAGGAATGAATCCCCACTAAAAAACAGAGCTGGGAGAGGAGCCTAAAGGAGGAACACGGTACATATAGTTAGCTTTAATACTTAATATGATGTAGTATGCTATCGAAAAAAATATATGCATTCAAAATCTCATTACAATAGTATTTAGGATTTTTTAATCGTTTTAAGACAATTTTTTCAACTAGTTGAGATAGATATCTTCGATAGTTTGAGATTCGAATCTCCACATATTATTGAATTGATTCATGTGTCTAAATTTTCCATTTGCTTAGTGTTCCCAAGTGCTTAATCTCCGGTGTATGTCTCTTTTCTACATATCATTAGTGTCTTAATTATTACACCTCTTGGTTGTCCTGTTCGTAAATAGTGACAATTCATGGTTCATTTTAAAATGATGCAATTTAAGAAATTGGAGTAAAACTTAGTTTGAAATTCCAAAATTCTATTTTATTTTATGTTTCAATTTTATATTTTATCTAATTTTGTTTTCTCCCGTTGTTCGTAGTGATTTACTTCGCTTCTTAATTTTACAATAGAGATTAGAGTTTAGAAACCGAAACAATGCTCAGAATTGGGCCTTCTTTCATTTGAGGCCCAAACCATCTTCTCGTTCTAATATTTTTAAATCCCCGAAAACCCCTTCTGGCAATCTAACGGTGAAGCCTCGGTCAATAAAACATTCTATGTAAAGTCAGTTAATCGAACGGTCGAAATATTTCGTCCGGTATCAATGCTAAGGCTTTCTTCGGCTATTTAAAAAGAATCAATCGGCTTACATAGGGTTTCATCGAAAAGACACAGACTTTCTCTTCGTTTCTCTCCTAGGGTTTTTCTTCTCCCGTTCGAATCGAAGAATCTGCGAGGTTTGATTTCTTCAATCCTTTGATCCACGCTATTCTATCTTCTTCATTACGCTAGTTGATCGTTTTATTTCTGTTTCTGGTCAAATCCCGAGAGTAAGTTATTGTTTCACGCATTCATTTAGTCCCTATAATCGTCACTTCTCTATTCTGGTTTGGCTGTAAAGGAAATTGATAGCATAATGCTGATGAAGTTGATTTCTAATCTTTTTTCACGGAAGCTGTTATCTTCTTTCACTTATTATTTGTTTAATCTTGTTAACTTATTGTCTTCGCTTTTTTTGGGTTGAATGTTTTGTACAGCGCGATTGACAGTAGCAACTATGAGGCCGATATTTGTTGGGAACTTTGGGTATGACACCCGGCAATCGGAGCTGGAGCGGTTATTCGCAAAATATGGGAGAGTTGAAAGGATCGACATGAAATCTGGTATATTGCAATTTCTTTGTGATAGTATGGAATGCTCGTCTTTAACCAAGTTATTATGAAATTGGTCATAACTTTTGCAGATTTTATTCTTATGAGGATCATTTTAATGGTCAGATTTAAACCAATTGCTAATGTCAATTGTTACTCTTAAGACTATTTATTTGTATTACAAATGATGAAATGGGTTGGTTGAGGTGCGTGCTTAATTTTTTTGCTCTTGTACATTGTCAAACTGAAAATTTTGTTAGCAAGTTTTGACGTCGAAGCTAATTTATGTATAGATATTATTGTGCTCATCTTGGTTAAGTACCTGCGATCGGATATTGCATTTGGATTATGGGTATACATTTCAGTCTGTATGTTATGTATGTATTGATGGATGACTCTTTGGATATACGTCTTACTAAATAGTGTGGTATGTAATTCCCATCTTCAAATGTCCTTGTTGGTTATCTTTTTTTTTTAGTTACTTGTTCTTGACTTTGCTCAAATTTGATCATTCGAATCATCTTTACTTCTCCTTGTAAACCAATCTTGCTTACTCTGGGTTATGAGTTTAAATTGTTGTTAACTACTGTAATGTCCTTGGCCCTCACCTGCTATGCTGAGATCCTTAACCCTCCTTAGTGATATATTAGTCAATGATTTAATACACTTTTTAGGTATATTGGTTTATTAAATCATGGTATTTGTGTTCGTGGCTTTGGCTGCTCCACTGATATTAGAACTAGGTATGAAAGTAATGTCATGTTTTTACTAATAATACTAAAATTGATGTTTTTTCAATTATAAAACCCAGTTCTGTGACATGGACGCGTAGCTTTCATGCTATGATAATATCCAATGTCCTCTTTTCTGATGGAAAATTGATGGCAGACACGAATTTACTATTTTATGGGGAAAACCTCCATATAAGATGTTTCTTTTGACGCAGGAATTTCTACTAAGGAAAATGAGCCAAGCTACTATATCGGCTCACCACCATCTGTGCATAATAATTAATTTGGAAGGAAACTTCCTGCTAGCCTCTCCTACAGATAGCATCATCCTGATTTTTCTTCAATCAATCATTCGTCATTCATCTACCTCATCACTTAAGTTGCATTCACCAGGATCGTCTTAATGGATTGATCTTTATCTCATGCCTCATCAATTAAGTTGCAATTCACCAGACTCGTCTTAATGGATTGATCTTTATCTCATGCCTTGCCTACCTATCATCACTGATCATAGGACATGACTGAAATCTGGCCATGCCTTCCATATGATAATAGTGGCTGAAATGAAATCTGTCATGCCATGCCATGCCTTCCATTTCTGAACTCGTGCTGTGTGAAAGGCGAAGCATGGTTGAAATTTTGGATTTAAACCTTTAGTATGCAACCATCTTAGTTCATCATGCAACGTCTCTACCGCTATATGTGCATCAGTCCTCCCATATTTGCAGGTGTTGTACTTTTTATAGTTTATCCCAGGGAAAGAAATCTTGAGGTTGAGTGACATAGCTGCTAAATGGATAACTATCTGACATCTTACCTTGGTGTATGTCTAATTAGTTTAATTTGCAGGTTTTGCTTTTGTTTACTTTGAAGATGAGAGGGATGCGGAAGATGCCATTCGTGGCCTTGATAATATGGCATTTGGTTATGATAGACGCAGATTGTCTGTGGAATGGGCTAGGGTAGAGATCTCTCTCTCTGTCTCCATATTATCCCATTCAATATGTGGTTATATCTTACATTTTTTTTTGTTGTGTTAGGGTGAACGAGGTCGTCATCGTGATGGATCCAAGTCAATTGCAAATCAGAGGCCAACCAAAACTCTGTTTGTGATCAACTTTGACCCAATTCGTACCAGAGTCCGTGATATTGAAAGACACTTTGAACCTTATGGAAAGGTCCTCAATGTTCGCATAAGAAGGAACTTTGCATTTGTGCAATTTGAGACACAAGAGGATGCAACTAAAGCCCTTGAGTGTACCCACATGAGGTAAGCATTATTTATGAATTTTCCACATGCTTGCTTTTTTTCCATTTTTTTGATCTGCAATGGATATTAAATATTGTAATACCTTTGTTATTTTTCAGCAAAATATTAGACAGGGTTGTGTCTGTTGAGTATGCTTTGAGGGACGATGGTGAGAGGGGTGACCCGTTTGATGAGAGCCCTCGAAGAGCAGCTTATGGACGACCTGGGGACAGTAGTCCTTATCGGAGGTCACCTAGTCCTGCATTTCGACGTCGACCTAGTCCTGACTATGGCCGAGCTCGCAGCCCTGCGTATGATAGGTATAATGGCCCTTACGAACGCCGCCGGAGTCCTGATTATGGTCGAAATCGAAGCCCTGAATATGGTAGATTTCGTAGGTATGTATATTATACCACAGCCTCCATTTCAATTACTAGCCCTGTCATTGAAGCTGACCACCCTTTTCTCTCGTGTCTTTGTTGACAGTCGTTCACCCATTCGGCGGTCAAGAACCTGAAGGAAATCAACGTTTAAGTTTCAGTTACATTCTTAGGTTTAGGGATATGATGGAGTGTTTAAGATAGTGACTAGTTCTCTGTACAACCCGTATTGTTGGTAGTTCATTCTAAGACAATGAGATACACGTTTATCTCTGTTTAACTAGCTGGGTGATGTTAGTACATGTCAAGGTGATTGTGTTGTCTCCACTGTCAATGCTAATTCCACTTTAATTACAACGTTGGAACAGTTTTAATGGTACGGTAGTTTTGCGAAATTATCCATCTTTGATAATGTTTTATTATAAGAGTTGAGTTATTATAGTGTAGTAGATTACGGGCCCATCATCATCTTCATTGCAGTGTCCGTTATTGGCTGTGGTTGGGCTGCAAATTTAATTCATGTATTGAAAACTCACCTCTTTTCTGTAAGCGTGAAACTGATTTTGCTTCTAAATGCTCTTTTCTGTTTGTAGAGTTGACTCTTCCAATAAAAATTTTAATTTTTACAAGACAATCTCCTCTCAAGAAGCCATCATTTTAGATTGTTTGTAATGCGACTGAAATAAAAAAAAAAAAAAAAAACCCTCTCTTTCTCGTTTATCGTTTCGAGGACTTCTTTTTATCTATTTGGATAGGGGTTTTCTACAAGAGGTTCCACTCCATTATCCAACTGCCATAACAAGTTTCTGCTGTCAAAAAGAAACCAAAATTGTTCCCTTGGATGGCAACTTGAAATCAAGTGATGTTATGTTTATGTTTAACATTGAATTGGAGACCCATTTACGGATATGTACAGAGAAACATAAAATAACTCAAGTTTGAGCAGTAAAAACAAAAACAAAAAAAGTAAGAAGCAATTAGGAATTAGGAATCTTCATCTGTAATCTTGAACTTCTCCAATACCACTTTGCCTTCTTTATACTTCTGCGATTGGTCATAAGCCTTGATGTATTTCCAACCCAACTTCTCCCCACAGTCGCTGCAAAATACATCAGAAACAACGTATTGGCCTGTTATGAACATCTTCTCCTGCTGAGGCCCCATTGCCACATTCTTTGCTTCGTAGAACAAGAAAGCTCTTCCTTTCTTCGACTACACCAAAAACAAAACGCAAACCCATCTCTAATTCAATCCCAAAACCATCCATTTTCATGCATCATTCCATAACGAAATCTTGGAAATTTTGCACTCACCTGAAAGCTTTTGGAAATAATGTCGTCATTTCTTGATACGCGGTTCCCGCACTTTTGGCAACTGTAGGAGCGTTCACCGATCGAATCCGCCATTGATGTTCCCAGATTCTCTCCTTCGCCGATGAGAAGTAGTTGGATTAGAAAGGGCGTTAATTTTTGCTTCCCAACTATGTAAAACTTGTTTCTTTTAAAGGGATGGAGTTGCCAAATGGCGCCGATGATTCAGGGATTTTCTTAACCATAATAATATCATAAAATTGATCAAGATTCCATTCAATTGCTTTTTCATTTTTCCTTCTTGAAAAAAATACAATAATGGGTTTGAATTATGACGATATTTATCACATCTTCTATAATTTTATCCCCCTTGTTGCTTTACAATATTATTCTAATCTAATCGAAGCTGATTCATATGTTGTATTTATTTCTTTTTTGTTTACTTGTTAATCCAAACTAAACTTCTTGACAGAGACATTTCAACTCCCACAATATATGAATAGATAAAGTTTCATTCAAAGTAGTCTCTTTTTTAGGCTTTTCTTCTGGTTTTGAATATCAAAGAAGATAATATTTTGATGTTAAACTAACACTCAAATTTAAATCAAGGAGTGACCATCAATCAAATCATGGGCATTTTTCAATGGGTTTCATACAATTTTAAATTTGAGTCTTATTACAGACATTACTGCTGCCTATCAGTATTATACTCCTGGCTCGTCTCATTGAGTGGACAAAGGTCGTTCCAGAATCGAAGTCAATATCCTCAAACTCCAAAGTTATGCATTTATTTTGTAGACTCAACACTAGAAGTTGCGAATAAGAAGTCAGCGAAAATCATATCCATTTTGACAGCAAATTCAACTCCTGAAGTACAAAAAGAATCCACTTTTCGGACAGCGACTTCTTAGAAAACGAGACGCGCCGAGCACAGAGATTCAAGTTTTACATTATCAGGTCGTCCCTCTGATGTTCTTCAAGAGGGAGTCACAAAACAAAAAAAGAAAAAAAGAAAAAAACCAACAGGAAAAAAAATGGTGGTGGTATTATACGTGCACTCAATTAATGAATAAGTTTCTTTTCAATCCATCTCTTTCTGGTGGCCTCTAGTGCTTCCTCCCTCATCCGAGAAACCTCTTCGAACAGCTGCTGATAATACATCTCTACAGCATTCAGTTCCAACTTGAACTCAGCTTCCAGATCCTTGTCCGCTAAGGAAAGCGAAGAACAGCTGCTCGTCAAGCTCATCACATTAGTAGAAACTCCACTTGGAAGAGGCAATGACATGACTGAATTCTTAACAAAATAGTCCATGGGAGTGAAAATTCCAACATCACTACCATTTATTTGCAACTTGTCATCAACATATGATGAACCATGGAGCTCTAGATCGGCAATCGACCAACTCGAGCCTTTTGAGCTTCCATCAATATTGGAACAATCTATCACCTTACCGATTGTGGTAGAACTATCTTCAACCAATGTCTCTGATGCAAATGAAGCTTGTGAATCCGGGATGTCCTCAAAATTACCCAAACTGGGAGAAGGGCAACCACCAGTATTGAAAATATGACTATCGGGAAAGCCATCAGTCCAGCCTTCTTCCTCAGATTGCAGACAGTCCTTTTGAGTACTCACTAACCCAGATGAAACGTCTTGTTCGACCAACCCATCTAGAACCCCACTTAAAACTGAATTACATGTAGATGGGACAGATGATTTGGTGTTTGTAAGTATATAGGGGCCGCCACAAAGACTTATTGCTTCACTTGAGGAATAATCAGACAAAGGCTTCCAACCAGGTATAAGTTTTGTGATTACAAAGTCTATAAATTCTGCTATGAAATCCACATCATGAGTTACTAACTCCAATTGTTCAGCCATTTCAGCTGCCACTGATAGTGCAGTATCAGAATCGAGATAAAAGGTAAAATGAATATTCTTCACTCGACCTGGAAGTTGAAGTGTAGTTAATGTGGATAATCAGAAATGAACGACAATCAATCACATAGCAGAATGGAAAGGTCTCAAAGTTAAGCTTACCATTTGAGTCTGCAATACGCAAGGTTAACGCCACCGAGTTGTCGTCGTTCTTATTTCCACGTAATCTGAACTCATGGTTCTTATTCTTTGTTTGGAATTCCATGACTGGAAGGCGTGGACTCTCACCACTGCTTCCTGCACAAGTGCTTAACGAATTTTGTCTGTGGTCAATGTCTATGTCCATGGAAATAGGCTCACTCTTCATCAAATTTATTGATCTCGGAATGAGGTTAGGCAACTGTAGGGGATCACGTGTCGACTCCTTTGGGTTCTCAACTCGAAGAAAGGGATCTTTAAGAAGCTCTGTTGCAGACAGTCTCTCAGTCGCTGGAACCAGACATTTATTGATAAACTCCATAGTCTGTGGATCAGTTACCTTAGCAAGGGAAGAAGGTTTAATACCCTGATTAAGAAGAATGTCAGTATTGGAATTATGGTCGGTAAAAACAGTTAACAGGTGACATGATCATTGGTTTTACTTACAGATGTAACTTTCTTATAGATCTGAGCTGGATTTTTACATTCACTATATGGGTACTCAAAGGCAACCATCTCCAGCATGCACATACCAAAAGAATATACATCAACAAGCTCATTGTACTCCTCTTCATAAAGCTCAGGAGCCATAAACTCAGGAGTTCCTTGAATAAAGAAGGAAGAATTTCAGTACTTTTTCCCTTTACTTTTTCAGTTAGATTAAGACAACAAGTGATACATTAATTTGTTACCATACCAATGACACTTCGAGCGGTCGGCTGCTGCATGACAATTGCCAATCCAAGATCTCCAATTTTGACTTCTCCATGATTTCCATTAATAAAAATATTATCCCCTTTCAAATCTCTGTGAACAATAGGAGGATCGTGACTGTGAAGATACACCAAACCACGGAGAACCTGTCGTGCCCAATTCTTTATGGCCTTCATATCAACATGTTTATGCTTTTTACGGTATCTGACAGCCAAAAGGCACATGATAACCAAACAGAAAATTTAGTTAAAGCATAAAAGGACTAAATACATAACCTCAAATAGAAAACATACTGCCTCAAACTCCCAGATGTGAAGAGCTCAGTGATCATGTTGACTGTTTTATTCTTATCATCCACCCAAGAATTGTAGAACTTGATAATATTCTCATGTTTTAATGATTTCAGTAGATGTACTTCGGAGTACAACTTTTCCAAATCCTCAGGTGACTGCAAGAAACCATCAATCCTTACTTGGTTCCAGGCAACTTCAATTCCATCAACTTCATCAAATGCCTTGTAACTGAATATATGGGGGGAAGCAACAGAAATTATTAGAAACCAAATAAAAGCATCCTTCATAGGATTTTCTCCACTAAAGTTAATACATTCAAGACGTCCAAAAAACAGCAAAACGAGGAGAGAGTGATCAAGTCTTAGAAACCATACACTGCCTTGAAAGCGCCTCTTCCCAAGATTTCATCGTACTGTCCTCCACAGACGAGGAAACAAGTGAATATATAGGTCTAAATAAATAACTAAAGCAAACAAAAGTGAAAACCAGAAGCAGACAGAGCCACACAACTTGTCCTCGTAGTTAATGAAAAATATTTAATAGATAAGCTTAGACTTCAATTTTAATATAACCAATCAAAAACAAGTTTAGGTTATATTTCTTTTGTCCTGAAACGGAAACTTGCATCACAAGGCACATTTTTTTTTTAATTACTAGGAGTTAGAGCTTTACTTCCCCAGGGCACCCACACCTGCCCCAAGGTCTGGATCCGAGAGACATCAAGAGTTTTTGGTATTAAGTTTCCCGGAAGGTTCGAACTTGAGATCTCTAAACCAGTATAACAAAAAGACCTCAAACTCTTATCAATTGGGCTGCCCCTATCCAAGGCACATATTTTGCTATTTGGGAATTCGAAACTAAGAACAAAAAAAAACTTCTAAAATGTAATCTCGAACTCTGTGCACAATCTCGAGACAAATGAATGTTAATATAGCTCAATGTAGTCGAATATCAAACAATGAGTCGATACAACAGGGATTGAATGAAAAAAAAGATTCCAAGACCCATGTGCGTAAAAATTTAAAATCTGCAACTAAAATTCTTGTTGCCCATCAAGCAAAAAACTAAGCTATCTTATGGAAGGAAGCGAATGTGATTGAAATATTAAATCCAAGGGTCATAAAAGCCATACCCGAACGTATCGACCAGTTGGATCTTTCTCCACGAACGTATCAGGAGATTCCATACTTCCAAATAACCCACTAATTTTCGGTCAGCTACGCGTTCATGTTTGCTAGAAAAGGGATGTCGCTACCAGAAAGAGAAGGATTTAAAGAAAAAAAGGGGGAAAAGAAAGACGAGAAAAAATGACAAAACTTCCAGGAGTCAAATTGTTAGTCTAAGAAATCAGAGCAATCGCCGTTGGTGAACCCAGATTGGAATTCGGCAACGACGATGCTCAGAAAACGCTTCGGATGCAATGCAAAAAGAATCGAATGCCGATTGCAAGCGAAATCGGCATTCCATAACAAAGGGTACAGGCGATGAATCTTTAGAATTAGCAGGCCCACTTTCCATACCATACAAAAATTTTCCGCCTTAAAGAACAACACAATTCTCAAACACCATCTTGTCGACTTATCACACACACCCCCTAAAAAAACTAAAATGCTTGCAGAAAAATAGAGAACTTGCTTGCGAATTGAAAGGGCAAAACTCGAAAAGGAAAATTAAAAACCAAATCCGATTGGGATTAAAGAGGGATGAAAATGTTGCAGAATGCAGATTGATCCAAAATCCTGTTTTCTGAATTTTAAAATTTGCGAAATTGAAGGTCAGAACAAACACTTGTTTGGTTGGAAACTGGAAAGAGAGGCAAAAACAGAGAAAATCAAAAATCAAAAATCAAAAATCAAAAATCAAAAATTAAAAAAAAAAAAAAGTGATGAAAATTACCCCACAAAAAAGAAACTGTTCAATGGCAACCAAATTTGGAAAGAAGACGATACGTCTCCACGGCGTCGTTTCATTCTCTCTGGAATATTCAATGTTGTTATAAAAAAAAAAAAGAAAAAATATAATTTTGCTTACAACTCACCGTTTTTTTTTTTTTAAATTATCATTTTAATTGTCCAACCGAACTCAGCGTTTTTATTTTTTAATTTTGTATAGAGCTCTAAAATGGAAATACAAGTTTTAATTTATTGCATTACAATCTAAACCAATTAAAATTGTCGTTTAGAAATTATCTAGAGGATAAGCTTTAAGCTTTCTAAATTATTGTAGGTGTAATAATTACAATTCCGCTATTTCTATAACAATAGAGAAATACCTTTTATAACCCCACATAACTCATAATAGCTTAATGCTTAAGGAATTAAGTTTGAATTCACGTCCAAATGCAGTTTTTATATTATATTAAGTGTTTAAACATTATTTTATTTTGATTTATTTTTGTATATGTATTTTTAACTTTCTCCCATTTAGGTTCTACACTTTTAAAATTTTTAAAATATGTACAACTTTTAGTCCCTATTTATAAAAGTTTAATACAAATTATATATATATATATATATATATATATATATATATAAATATTATAAATTATTGAATATAAATTTATGACTAAATTTTAAGAAATGTAATTAGTGGAATGTCACGTTAAAATTGTGATTAAAGTGATTCAGATTAAAAGTTAAGAGTGAGAGATCAAAATAATTGTTTTTATGATTAAAATATATGTTTTGAAAATACACTAATTAGACTAATTAGAAATATCAGAATAGATATTTTGAAAATACATCATTAAAATAAAGAATATATAAACTAAAATAGTATTTAAGCTTAAATTAAAAATAACGAAACATGTAAGAGTTTAGTATAATAAAAACAGAAAAAAAGGTATTTACTATTTAAGGTTACAAAACGGGCTACATCGACCCAAACTCATGTAGGCCGATTCTTCAAATCAATGGCCCAATCCCATACACAGGACTCAGGAAACTCTTTTTTCTCTTTAATTTTAATTTTTCTAAATATGTATATATACAAGATTTTTTTTTTCTTACAAGACAAATTATGAATGGATAAAATATAATTAACTTGAAGGAACGGTACAAAAAGAAGAAAAAAAAAACTTTTAAGGAAATTTTCAAATTTTACTATTAGATAAAATTTTAAATTCTATTTAATTGTAATAAGTGTTTTTTTTTTCCTTTTTTGTAAAAATTGTGATAAGTGTTGCCATCTTTATTTTTAAATTTTTATTTGAATAACTATTAAAATTACGGGCAGTTACAAATATGCCAAAATAATTTAAGGAAATAACAAATTTACCCTCGTAGCATTGATATACCATTGATATATATTTGATATACATCTGATTTACTACTGATATACAACTGATATATCATTGATATAACTATGATATCTACTGATATAACTTCTTATATGATTATATTATTTACTATTTATTGATTTACCACTAGTATATGTGTAATATATTATTGTTGATATGTCTTTGATATACCACAATTGATTTAATTTTGATATATATATGATATTTACCCATATAACTTCTAATGTGGTTTACCATTGATAAACATATGATATAATTATGATTTCTATTGATATAAGTTATTACATGATTATATAATTTACCATACTGATATAACACTTATATATACTTGACATATATTTGATATATACTTGATATGTCTTTAATTTACCATTGATATAACTATTATATATACTAATATAACTTTTCCTATAATTATATGATTTACCACCAATATAACTTTGATGCATATGTGATATATACTTAATATGTCTCTAATTTACCATTGATATAACAATAATATGTACTGATATCTACCGATATCTAACATTGATGTATATGTGATCTACTGATGTATATCAGGTATCAGTACAAATATATTTAGTATGCCACTGATATACATCAAATGTATATTAGAGATACATCATATATATATATATATATATATCAGATAAGATATATATAGGTATATCATTACAAATATATTTAGTATATCATAAATTAGAGATACATTAGATGTATATTAGACATATAATACGTACATCTAATGTATATCAGAGTTACATCGGATATACATTAGATGTAGATCAAACGTATATAAGAGATATATCGGACGTATATTAGATATACATCAATCAGACATATGTCAGATATATATCGGGTGTATATCAGATATCATAAGGATAAAAATGGAATGATAAAAATTCCAAAAATCAAAATTAAAATATTTTGCCATATTTACAAAATACAAAAGTGATTGACAGTTTTGTAAATATGAATAAAAGTTTAGCTATCAAATACAATTTTCCTTAAAATTATTTTATCATGGTGCATTTATTGAATTACAGAACTAAGACATCTTAGGGAATAGAAGAGATTTTTGAAGAAATCACAATAATATATATATATATATATATATGTATTTTTTTTTTTTGAGAATTATCACAAACACAATAAATTAAACGTAGGGAATTATTTGAGATTTATACAATGATTAGATTAAAAAATCACATATGTTTATCTCAAAAAAGAAAAAAAGCACATATCCAATTATTTTCATAATTGATCAACCTCCCAAATTTAGGGATAAAAATTGAAGTTTTTTCCTTAACGAATCAAAAGGAAAAAAAAAGAAAAACGGTGAAAAAGAAAAAGGACCCATAAGTTGACTGCAGTAGATCTGGCGTCGTGATCGTCATTTATTGCGAAGGGGTGACGATGGTCCACCGGCCAACTGGTTTTCAGCTCCAATCAGATCGCCGGTATCTCTTCGATTCCCTTCCGATCCACCGTCAGCCATTGGAATACTCCAAAGCTCTTCACCATTCTTCCTAATTCCGAGCAGGATAATGGAACCCAGAGTCTCGAGAACCAGACGGAAGAAGGCCGATCTTCAGTCAATCCTAAGAAAATCATGGTACCATTTACGGCTCTCAGTGAGGCACCCTTCGAGGGTCCCCACTTGGGATGCAATTGTTCTCACCGCCGCTAGCCCCGAGCAAGCTCAGCTTTACGAGTGGCAGCTCAATCGCGCGAAGCGTATTGGCCGGATTGCTCACTCTACAATCACCCTCGCCGTGCCTGACCCCAATGGCCAGCGGATTGGCTCTGGAGCCGCTACCCTCAATGCTATTCACGCCCTTGCAAAGTATTACGAGAAGCTCGGGCTTGTTCCTAGCCCTGAGGTAACTTTCATTTCAGCTCATTTGAAACCTCGTGCTTGAACCTTGGCATCACTATGCTAATTTGCTCGACAATTCTGTTTTAGGAGTTTGTGAATACAGGTTCATGGCAGTTCCAATATTATGTAATTACCAACATAAAATGCTTGAAAAGTAAATAAACTAGGGACAACTATGCTAATTTGTTCGACAATCCTGTTTTAGCTGCATTGAAGGATCTCTAAGCTGGAATAGTGATACCGATATGCAGATGGAGGGAATGTTTCGTTTGGCTGTTTTCTGTAGTGTATTTGCTATTCATTTCATTTGAAGGTCAGTGGATTAAAGAATGCTGTTACTCTAGATTTGTTGACATCGTTTTGTTGTTGGGTTTCTTTACCATGTAATAGGTGGAGATTACAAACAATGGATGTAACGAGTCTGATCTGTCGCCTAAATTGCCAAGTAATAGCAATGAAGTTCCTCTCTCACATCTTGCCAGCTTCATATCCAAAAAACATGTACTACTGCTTCATGCTGGAGGTGACTCGAAAAGAGTCCCCTGGGCAAATCCCATGGGAAAAGTGTTCTTGCCTCTACCGTATCTTGCAGCAGATGACCCTGATGGCCCAGTTCCGTTGCTTTTTGACCACATTCTTGCCATTGCTTCGTGTGCAAGACAGGCTTTTAAAAATGAAGGTTTTCTTCTCTTCCTCTCTTTCCAACCCGTTATAATTTCATGATTTTTTTGCTCTGCTCTAAATTTCTAAAAATTCCTGCCATGAGATCATTTGGTAAATGCCAAGGTACCAGGAGGAAGACTGGCCGTCTCTTCCTTCGGTGTTCATTTACCTTGGAGTTTTGAACATTTGTTGAATACTTTCAATGTGCATTGACTTTCCGTTGAGAAGTGAGACAAATAGTACTAGTTGCTAGTTAGGGTCATCCTCTTGAAAATGAAAAATAAGATTTGTGGCTTAATGTTTTAAGGACCATTTTATGGTTAGAAAGAAATAGGACAATATTTTAAGGAGCATTTGGTGGGTAACATGCAGGATAATGTTACTTTTGATTAGCATTTCAAGAGGATTATGTTAACTCCTTTTTTTCATAGAAATTTTCTGTATAACTATCATTCTTTTAATGAAATTTTGTTTCCCATTAAAAAAAGATGATTCACAAGCATGTGTTGCATGCATTCATTTAATCGACTGTCATAAAAATAACGTTAGAACACGTATGACATCTAATTGAAAGATTCATTATTATTTTATTTTTTAACATAACGATGCTCAATTACTGATTTTCTTCCTTTCATTCTTCGTGAATGGGGGTGATTGGTTGAGGTCACTGCAGGCGGAGTACTTACTATGACCGGCGATGTTCTACCTTGTTTTGATGCATCCACTTTGGTCCTTCCAGAGGACGCCTCTTGCATAATCACTGTTCCTATCACCCTTGATATTGCTTCCAATCATGGTGTTATTGTGGCATCTAAAAGTGGGACACCTGGCAGGGTTTACACTCTCAGTTTAGTTGACAATCTCTTGCAGAAACCCAGTGTTGATGAACTTACCAAGAATAATGCCATTCTAAGTGATGGTAGAACGCTTCTTGACACCGGAATAATAGCAGTTAGAGGTAAAGGATGGGTTGAGCTAGTTTTGCTTGCATGTGAATGCCAACCTATGATTTCAGAGCTTCTGAAGTGTGGGAAGGAGGCAAGCTACTAATATTCAGTTTTAAAATTTTAACTTTGCACAAGAAACCAAATGTGGAAGGGATAATAATATTCACATCTCTCCATTTAGAATCATACTGTATATCGATCCAACTTTATTGAATATTATGTTTGGATTTTGTGTACCCATTAAAAGTTATTTTCATCCTTAAACTATCAATATGTTTCTAGGTCATTCTTAGAATTTAAAAGTTTTAATCGTCTGAAAATTTCTTTTGTTAAATTTCCAATTTCATCCACCGACACCAATTTTATTCTTGCTCAATTGACACATCGACTGTGCACCATCCTCCAACTCTTCTTTCTCTTTGAATTTAGTGGCTCCTCTCCCAGAGAAAAGAGGTAGGAATAAGAGAAGAGAGGGAGGGAAGGAGGAGAGAGAAGAGAAGGGAGAATGCATTCTCAGTGTATCATCTAAGAATAAAAAATGATGGTCCTTTTTTTCCCTTCCTATTTTAACAGAAAATAAAAAGGTTAGGGACTTCAATTCAAATACTTTTCAGTTTCAAGGATGATGGCATTAGAAATTGGTCAATAGTTCAAAAAGAAACAATAATTTAACCATTTAATTTACTATGTGATGGAAATTTAGCTACAACATTGTGCTCTTCAACCGATCTTGTTTCTTGCATTATGTCATGATATCTAGTCATGTTGTAAGGTTGTTTCAACATAGAAAATCCTTTCTGTCGATTCCTCAATTCTTATTTACAATCCTCCATTCATTACTTTTCCTCCACTGATTAAATCACTGCATCTGTGATTGAATGATTGTTATTCTTGAAATTTTTGTTTGGTTATGCTTTCCAGGCCAATCAACACTAATATGAAAGAGTGAAGTTGTCTGTTTATTTGTTTTACTGTGTTAAAAATTTCAAATTTCTTCTTTTTTATTGCATTGCAAGTGGATATCGTTTTTGCATCATCTTTATTTTGGTAAAGTGGATACACATACAACATCCTCTTGTTTTTCCTAAATCTTTGTGCCTCTTATTAATGAACATTTTATGTTTATGAAAATAAAAAAGTGACACCAGTAATGTAGAGGAAAAAATGCCCTCGGTAAAGTACCATTCATATTTTTAAAAGTAAAGATCTCAATATTTCTTAGTACTTTTGCAATGGTATGCTTTATGGTATTAAATAAATGTTTTGTATGTATATGCAGATTAGTTTATATGAAGATCTGGTTGCAGCTTGGGTTCCTGCCAAACACGAATGGTTGCAGTCACGTCCTTTTGGTGAAGAGTTGATTCGTAGGTTGGGAAGGCAGAAGATGTTCAGCTATTGTGCTTGTATGTCATAACAACTTTGCAACAGAAGTTTATTATATCCGTTTTTCTTTGCTTTATATTTTTCTTGGTTAAAGTTATTCTTATACTATTATTAAATTGCAGATGACTTGTTGTTCTTACATTTTGGCACCTCAAGTGAAGTTTTGGATCATTTAAGTGGGGAAGAATCAGAACTTATTGGACGAAGGCACCTGTGTTCTGTCCCAGCTACTACTGCATCTGATATTGCAGCATCTGCTGTTATCCTTTCCAGTAAAATTGGACCTGAAGTCTCAGTTGGAGAGGACTCTCTAATTTATGATTCTTCCATTTCTGTTGGAGTACAGATTGGTTCCCAATGTATAGTTGTTAGTGTTAACGTCTCAGGATTTAGTGACCAGTTACAGGGAGGAGCATTTAGGTTTATGCTTCCGGATCGTCATTGTCTTTGGGAGGTTCCATTATTAGGTTATAATGAAAGAGTCATAGTATATTGTGGAATTCATGACAACCCAAAAATTTCAGTCTCTAAGGGTGGGACATTTTGCGGGAAGCCTTGGAAGAAGGTTTTGCAAGATTTAGGTATTGAAGAAAGTGATTTGTGGATTACAGCTGGTACTCGGGAGAAGTGCTTGTGGAATGCAAGAATATTCCCAGTTATTTCCTACTTTGAGATGCTTACTCTAGCTATGTGGTTGATGGGATTGAGTGACAAAAAAATGGAGCACTTGCTTTTGTTATGGAAAAGTTCTCATCGAGTAAGTTTGGAGGAATTGCATAAGTCAATCAATTTTATTAAAATGTGTACCGGATCAAGTGATCACCAAGCAGATCTTGCTGCTGGAATTGCTAAAGCTTGTATTAACTATGGCATGCTTGGACGCAATTTATCTCAATTATGTGAAGAAATTCTGCAGAAAGAAGTTTCGGGATCAGAAACATGCAAGGATTTTCTAGACATGTGCCCCGAACTTCACAACCAGAACATTAGAGTTGTTCCAAAGAGCCGATTGTACCAGGTGCAAGTCGATCTCCTTAGAACGTGCAGTGAGGAGACAGCAGCATGTGAGTTGGAACGGGAAGTTTTGGCTGCGGTTGCTGATGAAACTGCTTCAGCAGTTAGATATGGGTTTAAAGGTAAAATTATGGTGTTCATTACCATTGGAAAAGACGGAAGCAATAATAGAAAATAATGGAAAGAAATAAAATAATAATGCAGAATATAAGATGCGGTGAAATGCAGTGAACTTTTTTACTCGTATTTCCCCATGCTATTTATTTTTTCCATAAATATTTTACCGTTTCTCTTGTCTTGTCAAATTAGTTATTGATCTGAACTTTATGCTATTTTAGCTTACATAACATGTTCTTTTCCTAATTTATTACAACTTTTTTATTTATTTATTTTTATTTTTATAATATCTTCAGAAGATCTCTTGGACAAGCCTGACACCGATAATCTGGTACACGAAAATAGTCTCTCTGATAATAGCACGAACCAATTAATCCACCATAAAAAGGTAATTGTTAAATTACCTGTACGTGTGGATTTTGTTGGTGGTTGGAGTGACACTCCTCCATGGAGCTTAGAGCGGCCTGGTTGTGTGTTAAACATGGCAATTAATTTGGAAGGTTCTCTTCCTATTGGGACCTGTATAGAGACAACAAAAACTTCTGGAGTTCTGCTTAGTGATGATGCTGGAAATGAGTTACATATTGAGGATCTTAATTCTATTACCACTCCATTTGATAGTGGTGATCCATTTCGGCTCGTCAAATCTGCATTGCTTGTGACTGGCATTATTCACGATCATATGCTAACTGTTATTGGTTTGAAAATCAAGACTTGGGCAAATGTGCCTCGTGGTAGTGGCCTGGGGACTTCTAGCATCTTAGCTGCTGCTGTGGTGAAAGGTCTTCTTCAGGTAACCGAGGGGGATGGAAGCAATGAAAATGTTGCCAGACTTGTATTGATGCTAGAGCAGCTTATGGGGACTGGAGGTGGCTGGCAGGATCAAATTGGAGGTTTATACCCTGGCATCAAGTTTACAACAAGTTTTCCTGGAATCCCATTACGTCTTCAAGTTGTCCCCTTGTTGCCATCACCTCGATTGGTCCCAGAGTTGCAGAACCGATTGCTCGTGGTATTTACTGGTCAAGTAAGCATCCTAAACTTTCTCACTTGCCCTGAATCAACCTCGGTGTTGTGTTTGGAAATTACAAGCTTCCGGAGAGTAAAGGCATTTGACAAAAATTATATGTTTGAAAGTGAACTGTGCAGGGGTACATGGTTCTCTGAAATTGATATCAATCTTACTTTTGGAAATTAAAAGTTGTTTTTTTAATTATTGTGATTTCTACTTCTCTTGTTTATTATTAAGAATCGATTGTAAACCTGACTTCCTCCAATTGTCCTGATGCTAATGGTCTACCCAGTTGGGTTTCTCCTGTTTGTTTTATGCTACACCTTTCCAACATTGCTAACACAAAACTTGGTTGTCTTAATCTTTCGGCATACTACATCTATGAAAAGCTCTGTGATACCATCATACCATCTTTTGAAAGACTACATCTAGTATCTTTTTTTGTAACTTTTGTCTTCTGGGCTTATATTCTTTAATTGATGTGCAGGTCCGACTTGCACATCAAGTCCTTCAAAAAGTGGTGACACGATATGTCAGACGTGATAACCTTCTCATATCCAGCATTAAGCGTTTAGCTGCGCTAGCAAAGATTGGGAGAGATGCTCTGATGAACTGTGATATTGATGAGTTGGGGGAAATAATGATGGAGACTTGGCGATTGCATCAGGAACTAGATCCTTTCTGCAGCAATGAGTTTGTTGATAAGCTCTTTGGATTTGCAGACCCCTATTGTTGTGGCTACAAACTGGTGGGTGCTGGTGGCGGGGGCTTTGCTTTATTACTGGCTAGAAGTTCAGTACTAGCCACGGAACTGAGAAACAAGCTTGAAGATGACAAAAACTTCGATGTAAAAGTATACAATTGGAACATATCTTTATAGAATCATTTATATAGAGGCAGTATAAGGTTACATATTCTACTGTTGTTAATTTATTCCGATCCATATTAAATTATTCTCGTGTTTACATGTTCTGTGTGAAATAAAGAAAACCAGAAATTGCTGCTTGATGTGTTATGGATTTAACCCCCGTATGAAGAATTCTTGATTACATTTTTTGCTATATTCGTTGGTACTTTTTTGTTCAGGAATTCTTTTTGTTGATTTTAAAGATTGATGTTAAAGCTGTTACACTTGGGGCTTATTTGGTGGATATGCTATCTGCAATTTGCTTTTAAAAAATGTTAAGAAATGTTTTTTTATGTTTCTAGTTGTAATTTCCTGAAGATAATTCAAAAGAAAACCCAAGTTGAACTTCCAGGAAGATTCTGAGTTACAAAGAGAGAATACCGAGAATACCGAGGGAACCATCATAGATGACCTAGTGTCAATAAGGACCAATGGAAATAGCCAAAGACTTAGAGGGAATGTGTTCAAACCACAGTGGTTACCTACCTAAGATTTAATATCCTACGAGTTTCTTTGTCAACCGAATGTGGTAGGATTTAGTGATTGACTCGTGATTAGTCGAGCTACATGCAACTGGCACGTACAAAGAGATATAAAAAAAGTAAAAAGAAAAAAGTACCTAGGGAGACAGTGGGAATTGAGAGGGTTCTTTTCTTTCGAGGGAAAGGGAAATATGGAATGTGTGCTTTCATGTGAGAGAGAAAAGAGGGGACGTGAAGGAGTAATACGAAAGGGTGGAAGAGAGAGGCTAGGGGAACATGGAAAAATGCTTTTATGAGGGAGAGAGAAAAGGGAGGGGGAATATGAAAGGATGCTTTTAGGAGGGTGGAAATTGTGTAGACGGACCAGCCAACCATGGTTCACCCTTTTGTTTCTTCTGCTTTCTTTGTTTATGTATAAGAAGTTAATAATTTGTTATGGTGACTGTGGCAGCGAGTTGAGTTGGATTGGTGGGAGTGGCGATCGGATGAAGAAGTAGACCCATATTGCAGAGGGAGCAGGCGAAGAGAGCAGATGGGTTTTGTGAGCAATCGAGTGGGCAAAAGTAAGATCAAGCCTGGTGACCACATTTACACCTACAGAGCTGCCTTCACTTATGCCCATCATGGTAATTGTCACTTCTCCTCTTTGTTACTCCCTCTTTTCAATTTCCACACTCTTTGCAATTTGCATTTCCAACTCTGTTATCACTGCAAGAAATTTGAATTTTCACGACTAACAAAATCGTTGTCACTCAATATTTCGTCAGCATGGTTCCGTCGCGATAGATTTTTGGTGACAAATTAGAGATTTCATAGCTAAAGGTCTTTGGCGATGATTTTTAGATTTCGTCGCCAGACTTTAGCGATGAGAAAATGAATTTTGTCGCCATGGATAACAAATTTAATAATTTTCCTTTTTTGTTTTTCTTGTTAAACCTTATTACCTAAATATTTCTTCAAATTTAAATCAAACTTCACAGGCACACATTCCGAATTATCATAATAAACTTCGATTTATATTAAATAAAAAGTGATTTTTACAATCTGTCTAGTATAGATAATCAAATACAACAAAAGCTAAATTTTGACTACAACGTAAATCTAAACCTAATCTATAGAAAACTTTTATCTCCTTGCTTTATGAAATCTCCTCTAATTTTCAAAGCTCAGGAGAGGAAAAATCATAAGAACTTGAAAAAACAAATGAAAAATAAACTTATGTGAACATATAGTGAGAATAAAGTGTTACTTTACCTAAGTCATTCTACTATATTGTAGATGAACTTCATGAATAGATTAAAACATATTAACTTGAAACAAACAAAGTAACGGTAAAGTAAACCAAAAATTAGTTTAGGATATTCAAGAACAAAACATACTTTAAGTGGTGCCAAATATGCCAAAAATGATCTTAAAACACCACTCAAGTCAATTTAACTTAAATAAGCTAAAATTATATTTAAGTAGCAAGATGTGATCCAATGCCACAACACCCCCTTTAACTTAGCCTAGCTAAAGTAGTGCTAAAATGTACTTAATTAGGTTTCAGAGCTTAATCCATATTAAAAAAGAGTGAGTGCTTGAATCGCCACAACTACATTGAAAAAAAAGAAGAAGAAAGTCTAACTCACCCCATATGCCACAAACTCACCAAACGAACTCTTCAAAGGCAAAACAAGCATTCCTAAGCATAATAAATTCTAGATAGCTAGAAAAGCTAATAATTAAACATAAAATATGATACAACATTAAATAAATCATCTATATCCCCTCGGAAAAGCAATACCATAGCATTTCTGTCAAAATAATATGGGAATAAATCACATCAACTGCTGTTCATAGCATTTCAATTCATACCGTCTGGTGACTTATTTGCTAAGGTTTCACTAGTATAGCGTTTTTTCTATTTGTAGTGGAAAGTCCTCTGAAAGTTGTGTGTTTCACCAAGATTTGCTTTATTATGGTTATGGTTTCTTTCGGTAGATATATAGTATGTCTTTGTTGAACATGACGGTACCCCAAATATATCTACTATAATATGATGTTGTCCAGTTCTTCTTTTGATTTCACTCAAAATTAATTCGACTTTGTTTGCAGTCGCACTCTTTGCACCCCTAATAGTTTTCTCATTTCTTGCAATTTTCAGCTCGGTAACAGCTTCTCCATTCTTGCGAATCATACCATTGGGCATTAAATAAAAAGTTCACGTGGAATTGTTTTGAGAAGTCGAATTATTTAGTTTTCTGCCTTTACTAATTATGCCTACTTTCTTTCAATTTCTTTGAATTCTCACTCAGGCGAAAC